GTTACCAGGTCTCCCCAGGATGTAGGCATGTGATGAGGCATTGTAAAGATACAAAATGTGCTGTATGAAATTAATGATGTAAAAGAAAATGGAAGAGAACTGAGAAATCCTAATTGAATTGAGAGGATTTACTGGACTGTACAGATGTGTCTCTTTTTGTAGCAGTGACAGTTAGATGGACATATTAAAATATCTGATTTAAAACAAAAAACAACAACAACGACAAAAAAAAAAAAAACACCCAATCAAAATAATCAAAGTTATGTTTCTGTGGGTTTTCATAACCATAGAGCTAAAAAAACAATGTTTTAATGTCTTGCAGTTTTCCCACGGGCCATTCTGGACCATGGAAGAAGAAGTGGGCAGACACTTTAATAACAAGCATTGCTTTGAAAGTGAAATTGCCTCCCCTATTGGACATTAATACTGCTACAACTAACATTTGTCCCCCTCACACACTCCCCCAATCCTGATAAGGTTATCCCCACTGTAGTCCTCTCCCCCCCCCCACCCCCTGATTCCCTCTTGCATGCCCGCTGAGGTTTGATTTCAAATGGAAAAATTAATGGGAGAATAATAGCCTTGGGCCTCACTCTCATCCACTCATCTTAGTTGGTCTAAAATGGTAAAGTGAGGGGGGGTAAGATTTAGATCAGATCGCCTCACTTGGCCTGATACTCCACTGTGACATCAATGCGCACATACACACCAGGGATTTCGCCCACCCTGCCGCTTTTTTTTAAAAAACACCTTAGAGGACTTAACTTTCAAATATTAGTACAGCGGCTGTGTGAATTTCAAATAAATAAATAAATGAGGAAGCAATGATTAGCAATTCTCCTGATAGTTATATCAACATGCTTCATATTCATTTTCACTTCCAGGAGAATATTTCTGCAGAAACAGTGATTTTTCAGAACTTTCCAAGCTTTTACAGGGTCTCCTAAAACTAATGTAAGGGCTTTTTTCCACGATGCTTTTGCAGCCACATTTGGGGAAGGACATACAGTAGCTTCAGAAAAAATTACAAAACTTTTGCTTGAATAAACAAAATACATGCAAAAACTATTCTTTCCTTGTGGTATATTGAATTACATTTCCCATAAAAGAAAAATGAAGTACACAGCAGTCTTTAAGAGACAATAATAAAGATAAACTATGTTGTTCTTACAATTCTAAGTACCTCTGTCATAACACTGGCAAAAGTCAGGGTGCAAAAATAGAACATGCGCACAGACAAGATATGCAAGTTTCACTTAAGCTGATACAGGGCCAAGTTGGTTGCAGGCGTTATTAAATCAAAGTTAAGACTCGATGCTCTTAGGCTAGCAAGACAAGAAGTGTGTGTGTGCGCGTGTCTGGTTGGGGTAGGGGGTCGGTTGTTAAGAGTTTAAAAGCGGAAGATGAGTTTGTGTAGAACCAGTATTGATGTCGGGGAAGCCCACTGGCACTTTCTGTTCAAACATTTGAGAGGACCGACCTGCTGAGCTGCAGCGCCCGGGTGGCAGGATTCCCACTCTTCCTGTTTCTCCTGACTTTGAGGAATATTTCGGTGAACAAACTCCCAGTGCTCTCCTTACATGCCCCGCACCTCATCAGAGATACCTGCCTCAGCAAAACCGAGAGGGAAACAGACCAAGATAGAACTTTCCAGGCATTTCAGGAGTTCCTGTCTGTTGTCACCCAGAAATGCATTATATGTAATGTTAGAAAACTACTTTTTAAAGGTGACCGCTACATATGTAGTCACTCTATACGCTATATCTTCCACCAAAAGAACATGGTGATGAACCTTACCTACCACTTCTTTTTCTCTGAACAAAACTTTTTGGGCAAAACACAGTTTTAGGGTTTTGAAAAAAAAAAAAAACAACCTAAAATTGGATGAAACCCATCGTTCTGAGTCTGTTAAAACATTAAATCGTGCTAAAAAGCAAACAGATGAAGTCTTGCTTCGCCCGTTTTTCTACAGATCAGTTTCACGATGACGTGAAAGTCTGAAAAGAGTGCAATTTCACTGATGTCACAAAACTGATGGCTGAATTTGCCGTGTTCAGGTGTCACTGGTGTGGGGAAAACAATTTAGACAGCTACCAGGCATGAACAATATGGACTTCATACAAGTTCAGGAGCGATTCTTTTTAATCAGTGTTCAGGTGAAAGAGAAGGTTTACAATACAGTGAATGAAAACAAAAGACAGCAAAGAGATGTCTCGGGTATAGTGATGGTACGACACACATAAAACGAGCCACCGTCCCCACACCTCTCACAGTTTGCCTTTGGGCACATGTACCATTAATTGCTGCCTCTACAGAGCCTGCAGACTGTACGCACCATCCACTGCTCGCATCAAAGAAACCACACACTGAACTTTATGAAATTTTTATTCAATGTGTTCACTTCTCTTCCCTTTTTCCTATTCCCCACCTTGGCCCCCCTCTCCCTTTTAAGCTGCGCCACCAAACAGACAAGAAAGACTTCTCCCTGCCATGTTTTTCAGCTCGACTTCCTTCCTGCCCAGAAGCACTCGAGTATCTCGTTAGTTCTCTCACAGCTAACATCACTCCTCTATCTGCCAGGAGCAAAAACCTGATTGGGGGAAACGTAACGAGAAGAAAGGATAAGAACGGGGGGTGACATCAAGAAGTTTGGTGGATGAGATTCTCAGTAGAGCTAGGTGTAAAGCCGTAATATCATTTAGCTACAGTAATTACAGATGAAAGAAACAAAAAAAAAAAAAAAGGGGAGGAGAGATGAGAGGGTTTTCTCTCTCCGAGGACAATGTACACTGAAGAGCCCCGAGTTTCATCATGAAGTTACACATACATGTAAAACCACGCTGCGAGATCTTTGTCGTTATAACACGACCCTGGCTTGACTTCAAATGTACAAAGAAAGGCTTGCAGAAAGCTTGCCTTCCTTCATCCACAGCCAGATTATGACAACTGGGCACGTCCGGTTTTCGCAGTGCTGTGAACAGTGCTTTCTGTTTAAATCCTCCCGCTCACACACAAAAACACACACACACACACACACACACACACACACACACACAGTGGTCATCCATCAGCACCGAGTGTTGTTTCTTCCCCCGCATGTCTCATACACACAGGTATAAATCACTGCACCTGATTTCTGGGGCCAGGGTTTAAATAATTAAAGAGCTTTAATTTATCAGGATTTAGCACCTGCTGACAGTAGGGCTGACAGAAGAGAATGAGAGATATATTGAGAAAGAGAAAAAAAAACAAACAAAAACAAAGAGTTCATTAAACATTAGAAAAAAAACATACAAAATTATTACACATTGCACAAGACAGAAAGAAAAAAGAAAATATCTAGTTCAAAGTGGAACCAAAGACTAGGTGAGAAGGCATTGAGGTTCTGCTCTAGAGCTACTTAATCTGCTGTGTTAAGATTTTTGTTATTTACCTGTTGGCAGAAGACAAACGAGCCTGTTCTACTGTTCTATGTGGGTAATCTTACAACTAAGTTGAAAGAATCATTAATGTAAAAAGAACACAATTGCAAAGAAAGACCCCCCACCCCCCCAAAAAACAAAACAAAAAAAACCAAAAACTCCCCCCACAGACATCCAGTAAAAAGAAGATCAAGCAAAGTTGTACTGATTTTTTGTTCGTTTTCCTAACTGCACATGCCGTCTTTTTTGAAGCATACATATAAATGACCATGGATCTTTATGTTTCAAAGCTGTTGAAGTAAAGGAGAAAGTGATAGCCACAAGAAACTGGAGTGTTTTTAGTATAGACCATCTAAGACACTGGGCATGAGAAACACACATCAATAAGTTACATTTAAAGTCTTTTGTTATGTCACTTCATCAACTGCACAAACCAAAAATGTGGTTATTTTGTTTTAACAATGACAAATAACCCCACCAAAAGCCTAAATATTGAAATACCGGTGATTTTTTGTATTAAAACAAAAGTAATAAGTGGAGAACAAAGCACTGGGTAAAGCACACTTATAGAATGAAATCTGTCTTCAATTATGTCCTGCAAGAACCAGCTGTTGTGATGTTGTCACAGAAATGTAGAACTCTACTGCCCTCTTGTGGTTTAGACACATGCAAATAAACTCTCACATGAAAGTGACCAAATGAACCCAAACACACAGATTTATTTTATTTTATTTTTTTTTTTAAATACTTGCATCTGTAGATTCACTGAATGAACTACTGTGTTAGCCCTATGAGTTCTGGAAGGTTGAAAACAAGATCTACCAGCAGGCACAAAGACATAAGGGAGAAACATCACAAAAAAGCAAAAATGCCATCTCTAGCTGTGTTTGACCCTCATTGTTTATTCTTACCAGTAGATCTGTCAAAACAGAATGAACACACCCAGCCACACTCTAATACACAAACACACGTGCTTCAATCAAAGACAGCACTGAAAAGACAGTTCGCCCCCCCCCCCCTCTGCTGAAAAACTGTGGTCAAAAAAAGAAAAAGAAATAAAAGTCCCTTTACCCTTTTGCATAAACATGCGAGTAGAATTAGTATAATATATTTTTCTGTTACTTGAAGACTTTATGGAGTGAAGTTTGTTGTCTGCTGGCAATAGGTAGCCACCTAGTGGTTAGACCCTCTCATAAGATCAAGTATTGACTGCAGAATTTTTAAATCGCAAGTTTGGATGTTTTGTTGCTAGATGACACTTTGTCATTGATAAACAAACAGCTTAAACATAGTTTAGCAGATACCTAACAAACTATCCAGTCTACAGACTCAGCTGGGGGGAGGGGAAGATAAGTGATTATCACACCAGAAACACAGTATTACTCCTAAATCAAACAGTACAATATGTTTTTGTTTTTTTTAACCATATTGCGCGATTTATTTTCAGAATAATAAACCTATATATTCATAGTTACGATACCAGTTCCCTATGAAAAATAATTACCCATAAGTCAGTACCACCATCCCCATTCTAGATGAATGATGACACTGTGTGTTTTTGTCTTTTCAAGACCATCATCCCTTCATTTCACTGGATTCCCTCCACCGGTGGATTGTTTTCACACTTCAGTGGTCCATAAGGGAGCGCTGTAAAGCCTCCTGAATCATTGTGTGCTCATCTGTGGAATAATCCTGGGAGGTCATAAGCATGAGAAGGGGAAGAAAAGAAAAAAAAAAATCACTTAAATTCTTATTAACATAAAAAAACCCAACAACAAATGAACAGAGAGTGCTTTACTTACAACAAATGTATCATAGGAGAAAGTGTGTCTGATCTTCAGGTGCTGGAAAAAGTCAGCACTCCTGTAGTTAGGATCCCCCCAAGGCATCGAGGCACAGATGGGGCACACCTAAAGAAAACATGAAGGTAATAAAACGATCTTTGAAACACATTATTAACCCAGCTGAAGCCAGTAAGTGTGTGGAAACTCAGAATTATGACAGAATAGGTTTTGTTTTGTTTTTTTTACCACTTGGCGTGCATCTCGAGCATGTTGGGTTGTGCAATGTTCAACCAGGCCGTCCTGGTCGAGGTTCTGGCAGTTGCAGTAGGGGCAGGTGAAGGTGTAGCGATTTGGCACTGAACTGTGGCAATGAAACAGAAATAATAAAATGTCACAAGGTTTGGTTCTCAACTACATGAATATTACACTTGAAATGTAACAGGCATCAGCTTATGAAGAAATAAGTGGACATTTACCACAGTTAGTGGCCAATCTTTATCTCTTGTCACATCAACTTTGCACCAGCTGAAAGAGCTTGAGAAAGACTTAAAAGTGACAGTTATTCCTTTTTCTTTTTAATGATAGGAATCTGTTTCATGGCACAAAGGTCTGGAGGGTTAAATAACAAAATAAATAAATACTGGGATCGGTTTCTTACTTTAAACAGTGTAGGAACAACATGCCACAATGTGTGGATTCTTAGTTTTAAAGGCTGCTGTTTGGGTGGAATCCCCCCCCCCACCAAAAGGCTACTTCCTGATTAGTCATAATAACCTCATTACAAGCGACGGCTTCTCAAACCATCTTCTCGGAACTTTCTCCAGGAAGCACAGTTGTCATAAATACTTAACATCCATATATGATAAAAACCACATCCACCTCATACAACTTGACAATAATAGTGTTTTATGTTTTCTAAAGATGAATGTTGTACTGTTTTCTATACACTCTGGAAAAATTACAATCAGAAATTACGACAGGTAAAATACAGAATGCTTAGCATATGCTTGATCATACTTTATAATACTACTTTTTCTTGCAATCAAGATTGGGTTCAATTTGAAATCCCGTTTGTGCTAAAACTTCTATTTATTTTATTTTTTTACCTTAAGTGCAAAATGTATACACTACATAAAGTAAAACCGCAAAGAGAGCTTTCTTATTTGACTGACATGTTAGGCATGCCAGTGAAACAAGGCAGTAATAGAGTCACGACTTTGGAGTCTTATCAAACAACAATGTACTGCCAAGAGTTTATAATACTATAAACATAGGGAATTTTATATCACAAGAAGATATTCCATCATTTGTCACAATGAACAGGTCAACTGCTTACATTTGGCACTTAAGTTACAGTGAAATCTACCATAAATCATATCATTGAATATATTTGATTGGGCCAACAGAACTCTATTTCCTATGTACAGTACTTTCTGCTGCATCAATGAAGCCCTCTCACTGAAATGACTGACAGGGCTACACTCTTTTCCTTTTTCACTTTGGATTAGTGTTGGTCCAAAGGTGACCTTTAATTTATACAACCCAACAAGCAGCAGTAATTGCATGCAAAGTCTGACTCTACAGTGTAAACCATTTTGCTTTATTATGTAGGGAATAGCAAATAATTGTTCTGCTTCTTTCCCCACCTGACGATGGCAGGCTGACTCTGGGCAGTTGTCCTGACTCCCTCCTCAATGTACTCCTGGTATTTTGAACAGGCAGCTGTGTGGCTTCTCATCTTAGAAAGCCCAACCTAATTGGGGGAGGAGTGACACATATCAGTAACTTCCAGTATATAACCATCATCATAAAATTGTTGCTATTATCTAAATATGAAGACAGAAATTTAGACACAGCAAAACATTACGATTATGCATGTGCAGTTATTGGATCTTCACCCTCTGTGATTGCTTCATAAATGGGAGTCAGTTCAGTGATATTTTAGCTTTTGGTCTGTAGTGAAACTTACCTGTGTGCCACAACCCTTACAAGCTGCCACAGAAGATTGAATAAGTGCCTCGAGTTGAGCAGCTTTAGTCCAGTGGCCCGGAGCACCTCGACATACAGCACAAACGGGCTTCTGTGGACGCAGACATTCCTGCAAACAACTGTGGCAAAACCTGTCAAGAGATGGGTGAAAGAATGTGATTGCTACACAAGAGAAATCAACTAAATTGTCAGTTTTGATTTGACCTCTGGTTACCTTAGGCTTGCTTATATATATAT